ATCTCACTTAATCCTTGTGCCAACCCTACACGGCCAAGAAACTTGTCTGAATTATTGCAGTTAATATGTGCCAAAGCCAGTATTCCTATTCAAATCTGTCTAACTTTAGACCCCATGCTCTTCTCCACTATACTACCCTGCCCCGTGGGAACTCCCCGGGCTCCTCAACCGTCTCCCAGGGCCCCTCCAGATCCCTGTCCTCAGCAGCCCCCGGCTTCAGCCCTGCTTAGCACTGGCATCAACCAAGTCCAAAACCATCTGTGACCTGGGCTCCAGCCCTTCCTTGGCCTTACTTTCCCAACCAGTGCAAGACAGACTTCAGTGGCTCTGATGGGGGTGGGGACAGGTTCTGGAGTGGACATGCTTACGTGGGATGTCCTGGTGTGGACGTTACCCTCAAGCTGGCCTCAAGACCGGGACAGCAGGGAGGCTTCCCACTGCAGCTGGTGCTTCCCCTGCCCCGTCAGGACCTTCATGAAGTCATCTGAGAGCCAGCAAGACATCTCGTCTCTTTTGCCAATAACTAGCTCTGGCAGAAGGACAGATACAGACCTTTCTCAGTTTCTGTGGTGGAGACAAAAGCCCTTATAATTAGAGGACTCTCCCTCCCAACTCAAAAAATGTTTCTGATGACAGGCCCTTAGGCTCTAGGGCAGTGATGGCGAACCTATGACACGCATGTCAGAGGTGACACGCGAACTCATTTTTTGGTTGATTTTTCTTTGTTAAATGGCATTTAAATATATAAAATAAATATCAAAAATATAAGTCTTCGTTTTACTATGGTTGCAAATATCAAAAAATTTCTATATGTGACACGGCAGCAGAGTTAAGTTAGGGTTTTTCAAAATGCTGACACGCCGAGCTCAAAAGGTTCGCCATCACTGCTCTAGGGCAACATTCAAGTCCCTTCTTTCTTCCCCTTTGACATACATGACCCGTTTCAGCCTTCTCTTTTGATAAATCAGCCATCTGCATGACAAAACCACTGTTCAAACCTTAACTCGTGAACCCTGTGGGTACCCTTCAGATGAGGTCTTCCATGCCTACTCTCCATAGTTCTCTGACTCAGCAACTCAGGAAACGTCTTCTGAGTCCTAGAATCCAGAGACTCATCCAACAGCCATACAGTTCTGACCCAGACTGCAGAGCTTTTTCTATTGTTGATCCTTAGAGTCAACCATCTCCTCTCCACCCTGGATCTCTACTTTAACTCAGTCCTCAGAATGGAGTAGCCTTTTCGGGCTTCTTAACCTGACCAAAAATGTTTCTTAAGCATATGTTATGTGTTAGAAACAGAACATCCTTTGTTTCATTAAATCTTCACAATTCTTTTAAAAATATATATATATTTTATTGATTTTTTACAGAGAGGAAGGGAGAGGGATAGAGAGTTAGAACCTTGATGAGAGAGAAACATCAATCCAGCTGCCTCCTGCACACTCCTTACTGGGGATGTGTCCACAACCAAGGTATATGCCCTTGACCAGCATCGAACCTGGGACCCTTCAGTCCGAAGGCCAACGCTCTATCCACTGAGCCAAACCAGTTAGGGATCTTTTTTTTTTTTAATCCTTACCCGAGGATATTTTTTTCATTGATCTTTAGAGAGAGAGTGGAAGAGAGAAGGAAAGACAGAGAGAAACATCGATGTGAGAGAAACAGATCGATTTGTTGCCTCCTGCAGGAGCCCTGACCAGGGCCCAGTCTGGGGAGGAGCCTGCAACCAAGGTACATGCCCTTGTGCCCTTGACCAGAATCGAACCCGGGACTCTTCAGTTCGCAGGCCAACACTCTATCCTCTGAGCCAAACCAGCTAGGGCAAATCTTCACAATTCTTTGAGGTAGGTGCAATTATCCTTACTTTGCGGGTGAAGAAACGGAGGTGCAGAGATAAAGTGTTTGCAGAGGTATGTCTGATTCCATGTGGTCAATGGAGTTGGGGGTTGGCGGGGGTGACTTGGAGAAGAAAATGTCCTGTTCCCTCTGGAGGCCCCGGTGACTTGCTGAGTCACTTCTTTCTGTCCCACCTGTCCCTGCCAATCTCCGGCCGGAGAAATGACCCTGGAGAGGCAGAGAGGAGTGACTGCAGAGACAGGGGAGTGGGTGGGCTGGCCCATGGCTGAGGCCCCGCTCCCAGAGCTGTGGGGAGATACGGGAGCCACACCTAGCCCCAGCGTTGTGGAACTGGAAGAGCTCCTGCGGGCGGGGAAAATTTCTTCTTGCAACCGGGCAGATGAAGTTTGGCCCAACCTTTACATAGGAGATGCGTGAGTAGTAGCTGGCCTAAGGGCTGTAGGGGTGGGAACAAGAACAGACAGTTCCTGGGCTCTTTACCAGAGATAGGAGCGGGATGGGAACACGGAGACATAGTTCTACACTGAGCATTCTAGACCCGGGGACTTTCTCCAGAAGTCCTCTGTGCTGGGGACAGTGCAGTGATCAGATGCGGCCACCAGGGGGAGTGGGGACTTTGCCTGCAGGAAAGAGGAGAGCTCCCAGAAATTCCTGGAGTCTGCTGACATATCCAGGAAAATGGGGGAGTTTTGGGGGCAGAGGCCTGGGGAATGGTGATGTGGGGTATGAAATGGATTGGACAGAGAGCTTCCCTTCCTGGTCCCAGCCTCTCTCCTGGGTCACAGTGGGCGAGGAAGCCTGACTAAAGGTGAATCAGGAAAGTTGTCACCTCTAAACATTTGGAGAGTAGAGGCAGGTATGAGGTAGTGGCCAGCAGAGGCAGGAAGCGCGTGGGAAGGCATGGGGCAGGAAGGAAGGGCGGGGCAGCTAGGTCCCAGGGGTGAGGCAATCCTCTCCTTTCTGTCCCAGCCAGCAGGGGCGCATGGCCTCAGGAAGCAAAGAGGGGCTACAGATAACTTCCTATCCCACCAGCTCTCCCACCAAAAGCTCTGAGGGTGGCCCTGGGAGCTGTGGATCCAGCTCTAGCTTGCTGGGTTCCTTCCGCCTTCCTTTGGACCCTAGTGGCTCCATCCCTCTGAAGTAGGGGGCCTGACGTAGGGGGCTCCCTCCTGGACCCCATGGCTCAGCCAGCCTCCAGCCCCCTTCCTCCGCTCCCCAGGGCCACAGCCAATAACCGCTTCGAGCTCTGGAAGCTGGGCATCACCCACGTGCTGAACGCCGCCCATGGAGGCCTCTACTGTCAGGGCGGCCCTGACTTCTACGGCAGCAGCGTGAGCTATCTGGGGGTGCCAGCCCATGACCTCCCCGATTTCGACATCAGTGCCTACTTCTCCTCCGCAGCTGACTTCATTCACCGCGGCCTCAGCACACCTGGGGGTAGGACTTGGGGTCTGATCTCAGATCCGTCCTGTCCAGTCCTGGGGGGATGTCCAGTTTCCCTTCAAACATCAGTGCCCTCCCATCCCTCGTTTTTATTTAAACAATTTTTTTTTCTAAACTGTAAGAGAAGGTTTATCTAGAAAGTCACAGAGGTAGAAATGAGCCATGGAAGAAATGGGCTCAGGAAACAAGCCACAGAGGCCAGAGAAGGGCCCTGGGAGCCCAGGGAAAGGAGGGAGCAAGGAAAAGGCACCCGGAGGAAAGGGAGGAGGAGGCGCTGTGCTCACCACAGAGAGCCGCACTGGGTCCTCCCGGAGGCCTCAGGGGGGGACCCCAACCACCCTAGTTTTTAAAAAGCCATCAGCTTTTTTAAAAAAAAATGTCTGCTCAGTGCTCCAGTGATTTATGCATAGCTTCACACATGGAGAAACTGAGGCCTAGAATACAAGACCATGCTACGGTTAGGAGCAGCCGTGGAAGCCAGGCCTCCCAAACAGCAAAAACAATTCTTTCTCTGTAGCACGCAGCCTTCAGAAATTGCCGTTTGGTACGTAGATGTCTGGTTTATGCCACAAAGTACTTTCAAATGGGAAAAAAAAAACAAAACTTCTAGCACCCAGGGGACAACAAGGGCCCCGGGGGAAGCTGGGCCCCTATCCTGTGTTTATCCTGGGTGAGCGCTCTGGCCTTTGCCACTGGAACCTGGGCGAGCCAGCATCCCTCTCTGGACTTCAGTTTCTCAACTGCACGAGCGAGACGGGAGAGACAAGACTATGCCTCACAGCACTTCTTAATATTCAAAACACTTTGACATTCATTTGTTCTCCATCCATCCACTTGCCAGCTATTTACTGTCTTCTCTGTGCCAGGCACTGAGCTAGATGCTGGGAATTCACGCTTAGACAAGGCAGGGTGCCTGCCCTCACAGACCTTGTCATTATGTTTGGAGGGGAGACAGTCACAGCGTAAAGTGGTACGAGTGCTCCGCACAGGAGTGGGGAAATGTGAAGAGCTAAGGGAGCGCAGGGCAGGGGTGCTCAGCGCAGAGGAGCAGGCAGGCAGGGTGACTCCCCCCTGCAGCAGTAGTCACTGGGCCACGTGCAAAAAGGATGAGCTGCTCCATGATTCAGGCGACCCCATGAGTGGTCGGGAATGCCTATGCAAAGAAGCTGAACCCTGACAGATGAGTAGTAGATGTTAGTCAGTCCGAGAGCAGGGGGAAAGGGTTACAAGGAGTTGGAAAAGCATGTGCTAAGGCTGGAGGCAAGAGACCATGACAGCTTCAAGGAGCCGGAAGTTACGCGGCACAGCTAGAGCTGAAGGTTGGGGTGGGACAGCCTGAGATGAGGCTGCAGGATCCGTGGGGCCAGTTCATGGAGGGTCTTATGAGCCATGACTTAGAAGACTTTGGGCCCCAGCCCAAGGGGTCCACTTTGACCGTCGTCCCACCAAACGTAATGACAAGTTCCATGAGGCTAAGTAGGAGCTGGTCTACGCATCTGACAGATGAAGACACTGAGGTCCCTAAATGTTGAATGACTTGGCCAGGGCTTGTCACAGAGTACACCCAAGGCAGGGCGGGGAGAGGAACTTGGGCCCCCACCCCAGCCCCTGGGTGGGCCTGCTGGTGGGAAAGGGTCTTCTTTCACCAGGATGTCTCCCTCAGCCAAGGTCCTGGTGCACTGCGTGGTAGGCGTGAGCCGCTCCGCCACTCTGGTCCTGGCCTACCTCATGCTGCGCCAGCAGATGTCCCTGCGCCAGGCGGTGATCACCGTGCGGCAGCACCGATGGGTCTTCCCGAACCGAGGCTTCCTCCACCAGCTCTGCCAGCTGGACCAGAAGCTGCGGGGTGCAGGCCGGAGCTGAGGGGCCAGGTGAGGGCTGGGCAGGGGGAGGGAACAAGGGGGCAAGGCTGGGTGCAGTTAGAAGTGAGAGGCCAGTTGAGAGCTGGGCAGGGAATAGGAAGGGGGAGGCCAATGAGGGCTGGAGGTGAAAGGTCAGGGGAGGGTGGGTGGGGGACATGGGAGGGGACAGTGAGAGTAGTTGTTAGGGCTGCCTGGCTGGAACTGAGGGTGGAAGGGGGCTTGGCCCGCTCTCCAACCTGCTGGGCTCCCCTCACCAACCCAAGGCCTTATCAGGGCCCAGCCAAGATAAGCCTCTCTCTCCCAGCCTACCCAGGTTCTTCAGACCCCAGAGAGGATGGAAAACTAGGAAAGAAAGGGCTGGAAAGCTTAAAATGGAAGAGGTGAGGCCTTCCTACCTGGTCTTGATGCTGACCTGTGATGCCTCCTTGGTCAAAGGCCTGTGGTGGCTCTCTTACCTCCCCACCCCCCACCGCCCAAGGCAGCAGCCAGCCAGTCCTGGAACCATGGTCTGTCTGAATCTTCCCACAGCTTCAGCTCTGGGGGAAGTGCGGCTGCAGCTATTGCTTAAATTTAGTGAATCTCACATCAGCCCGGACTCACCGTCCCCACGTGGGGAAGGAGAACAGGTGCTGCCGCCAGCCACGGCCTCCACACAGCCCTGCTGCTGTGAAGCTCTCCTGTCATCATGCCAATCCATCCTCTCCTTCGACCCAGCACCCCACGCCCTACCTGCCCCCCACCCCCAATCTGATCTCAGATCAATAGAAGGACTCTCCCTAACCTCCCTCCTCTCTGGTTCTGGGACCCCTTTAGGACATAAAGGTCTTACTGAAGTCTATTCAGACTCCTTCCTGCTTCCATGTACCTGCCTCCTGTTCTGTGTTCAGCGCATTTGGAGCAATAGCACAAGGGGAACAGATCCCTAACACCTCCCTCCTCAAGCCCCTCCCCTCCTGCTGGAGGCCTGCGTCCCCAGCTGCCTAGTGGACAGAGTCGGGCTACCCCAGCAACACGCTGCCTCCATTTCTCTGGCATCAGCCCTGGGTTTTCCTCCAGCTCACTGGGAGGAGGCCAGGGTGTCTCTTCCTGGGTGCTACCAGGATTGTGAGGGAGCTGCAGCGTAAGCAGCTCTTCCCCACTGCCCTTCTCCCACCACGCCCAGGCTGGGTCTGTCCCCGGCTGGTCCCAGCAGCCCGCCTTCCCCACATCACATCTCCCGTGAGTGCCATCAGCTGGGGGGTTAGGCCTCCAGAGCTGCTGTCCACTCCCTGAGCCTGCCTCTAGCTCCTGCTAGCCAGCTCCTTCCCTCAGCTCTCCTCAACCTTGACTTTGGCTGTGCCGCACCACCCACTGGCTCACAGGAGCTGCCGGTGGGGGTGGGTGGCTGGCCTAGGCTCTCCTGATAGTTGGAAGAGCAACAGCTTTCTCCTCCTGCCAAGAGCACGGCCTGAATCCTTCCCCGGCCCCCACTCAGAAGAGCTGTCTTGGTCTTTGGATGCATAGCCAGCTCAACCAAGTGTGGGGAGGGGCACATTAGCAATTTGACCCCTTCACACATGCTGTCAGGAGGGTGAGCATCTTGGGGATGGGGATTAGGGCAGGACAGAGGGCTAGGTTTGGAATTAGGGGGTGACTGTAATGGGAGGAAATGAGGGTTGTAACTGGAGTTGGGCCTAGGCTGGGGGCTAAGCTGAGTGGGAAGCTGTTGTGGTGAGCTCTGCGGGCACGGGAGCCAAGAGGAGGACCGGAATGCGTGCTCCCGCCCTGCTCTTTCCTCTAAACAGGTGTAATGATAGGAAATGAGGGTTGTAACTGGAGTTGGGCCTAGGCCGGGGGCTAAGCTGAGTGGAAAGCTGTTGTGGTGAGCTCTGCGGGCACAGGGAGCCAAGAGGAGGACTGGAATGCGTGCTCCCGCCCTGCTCTTTCCTCTAAACAGGCTTCAGGAGCCTGGCAGAGCAGCAGGTCTCTGATCATGCCCAGTCACCCCACTTCCTAGGCCTGAGGCTCTCAAATACCCTGACCCAAAACCTCAGCATTTTCCCTTCAGGCAGCTGGCTTTGGGGGAGTCACCTGAGCTACAGCATTGCACAGTTCCTGGGGGTGCATCCCCCAAATAGTCTGTGCAACTGGAGCCCCCGGGTGTTGTGCGGTGTGCAGCCCGTGAAGCCATACCCCGCAGCCCTGGGGCTGGGCACTCTGCAAAATGAGGGGCTGTGAGCCCTGGGCCCCAAACCTGCCTCCTCATCTCTCCCAGCACCGGTGCCCTCTTGACCTTACCCAGGGGGTTCAAAGCAGAAGCAGGTTTGGGTGGCAGCTCCTATCCCGACCCAATGATGTGGCCCCAGCCAATCTGGCCTTGGCTTACCTGCCTGTAACCTGGAGCTTATTCTCCCCCAGAGCTGGTCCTTGCTCCCTGCCACGGGGCTCTGCCACTTTGCCACCCTGGCACTGGCCCTGCTGGCGCTGCTGGGGGCTCTGGTCCAGGTGGACACCCAGAAGATGATCAGAGCCCAGTGCGGGGTCCGGCCTACAGCCTGCTACTCCTTCCGCTTCCTCAGGCTGCCTGCACTTTCTCTCAGCCACTGTCTTCAGCCCCCACAGGTGGGAATGGGCCCTGGGGGGTGGGGGGGAGGATGGGACGAGATCTGAGGAGATCCACCAGCTCTCCCTGGGCTCAGGGAGCCCCAGCAGGGGCTGGGCCTTATTCCCTGGAGCTCAGACTTCAGAGACCCTGCAGGTGTGGCTGGGGGGTGCACAGGTGTGTGCGCACGGTACCTGAGAATGAGTGGGAAGAGCACTGAGGTTTGGGTATATGAGGAGGGTCTCTGGAGAGCAGGGAGGGTTCTTAATAGGCCTGAGTCTCAAGCTGATCACAGTTAACCTTAGGAGGCGCCTTAAGGACCATTTCCCTGGCCACACGGAAGTGGGACCTGGGTCAGAATGCCTCTGGGGGAAGGATGAACTTGGCAGAGGGCAGAGGGGCTTCTGGACACAGCTTCTGACGGCCGGCCAGGGCGTCAGAAGACCTGCTCTGAACCCGGCTGACCCCTTTGTCTTCCCGTACTTCCCTCAGCCCGCGTCTTCTAGATCTTAATGTAATCCTTAGCCCCCAACTAAAGGCCCTGGGCCTGGGTCCTGATGTTGGCGATCCCGCTGGTTTGTGTGTGATTTTGGCTGCTCTCTTCCCCATCCTCCTCCATAGAGGATCCTTCCAGCTTCAACTCTCTGCCCGTGTTCCACACCCTCCTTGCAGCTTTGAAAATGGCTTATTTGATCTTCCTTCTCCCTGCCCACAACCAACATCCACATCCACTCGTGCCGCAGGCATCCCCCTGCCGGCTGCCTGGCTGGTGTGGCACTGACCATGCCGTGGGGCCAGTGGGGGAGCGGGGAGTGGCAGGAGAGGCCGGAGAGGGGAGCAGCACATCATGCTTTATAATTAAACTCAAATCAAAAATAGAAACAGCAGCAAGTGCGCAGAGACAAGCGGCTGGAAGTCAGCAGCACAACGTGCCTGTCAGACAAGACCAGAGCCCGGGCCAGATCGCCCCGCAGGTGGGTGAGTGCCCCTCCTTCAGGGGGTGCACAGAGCTTGCTGGGTAGTGAGGGCCAGGGCCCCTGGGCCTGCGTGTATTGCGGTGGGGGTGAAGGGGACTGGGTTAGATTGGGGGATGGATGGGTCACATAAAGGCACAGACAAAGCATAGCAGAATCAGAAAGACCTGCGCTTGAATCCTGGCTCCCATGCTGTTGGCTGCGTGACCTTGGGTACATCGCTTAATCTCTCCGAGTCTCGGTTTCCTTCCCTGTAAATTGGGGGTCGTGATATTACCTGCCTCCTAGGGTACTGTGAGGATTCAATGAGAACATGTAAACACTTAGCTCTGGCTGGTACCTAGTGCATCCTTAGTGAGAGGTGAATGTAACAATAATCATCGCGACAGAGAAAGAGACATCAGGAAACACAGAGATAAAGACCACGCCTCACTGACCCGTGGGAAAGTCACCCTCTACCCGGGATATGGCTCGGGCTTGAATAGGTAACGGTAATAATAGCGGTGATAACAACAGTAAGATGTCCCGTTTATTGGGCAGCTACCATGAGGCAAAGCCTGTGGGACGTGCCTTCCATTCATTACCCCGTGGGGTCCTCACAGCAGCCCCACTGAGGACACTGGCTCAGAGGCGTGCACACAGATGCCAGCACCAGGCCCAGGTCTGCCCTCCTCCAAGGCCTGCAGGCTGGGGACAAACCCACTGGCAGCCCCCCAACGCCTCCCTTAGGCTTCCTTCGCCAGCCTCCTCAGAGATCTCCCGCCCCACCTGTCCTGAGGCCACAGTCTCACCTGGTCTGCCTGTGGGGGAAGGAGGGGCAGAGAGAGTGAGCAGCAGGGGAGAGCAGGGGGGATAGCTCCTGGGGCTGTGCGAGGAGGTGGGTGGCAAACAGCTGCTGCCCTGAGACAGCGGGGCCTGGCCTGAGGCCACCAGCAGGCAGGGCTGCTGGGAGGCTGTGGAGCAGCCCAGCTCCTGGGGAGGGTGGGAGACAGAGGCCACGGGAAAGCAACATAGCGAGGAGGAGAGAGGCAAAGGCAGAAAACAGTGTGTGAACTTGTAATCAGCAGTGACACAACAGCAGGCAGAGCTGGTGCCTACAGAGGCATCTGTTAGCTTAGGGGGAGATGCAGGAAGGAGGCCCGGAGTGCATGGGGAGAGCAGCCAAGCCGGCCCTGTCCCTGATGGAGCTGGGCTCTGCGTCACCCTCAGGTGGCCGAGGAGATTGGGAGGAAGTGTTAGGCAAGGTCCCTGGCAGTCCAGGTCTGTGGGTGGCAGAAACCGGGGGGGAGCTGCTGCAGCCACCAAGTCCCTGTCCATGGTTGTGCCTGGATCGTGAAGAATGTGTCACTGGGCAAGGGGCTGCCCACGGGGAGCTGCCAGTGGGTTTGTCCCCAGCCTGGAGGAGGGCAGACGTGGGCAGTGTTCCTAGGCCTGGTGCTTGCGTCTGTGTGCACGTCTCTGAGCCAGTGTCCTCAGTGGGGCTGCTGCGAGGTAACACATGGAAGGCACTTCCCACAGGGGCTGGGCCTGCCTCCGCTGGCAAAGTGGGATGGGTAGGCAGGTGGGGGATCCATCCATGAGCATCAGGAGGGAGGCCCTAGCTGGGGTCTGACGAGGAGTACCCCTTAGTCCAAGGGAAAGGTGCCATTCTCGAGACCTGGGCCTAGGTACCCTAGGAGGCCGAGGCAGGGCTGTGCCTGAGGAACCCCAGATCCTTGATCCCTCTGCTGTCTCCTCCTCTGCCCAGGAGCCTCTGGAGGAGCAGGCTCCAGCTCCCTCAACCAAAGCCTGGCTGCCTACTCCCAGACACAGCTGGGCTGCGAGGCACCCACTGGCCACTAGGGGGCAGCCTTACCCCACGCCAAGCTCAGAGGCCTGAGCCCGCTCCTGCCTGACTTCCCCAAGCCCCATCTGCCTTGCCTGGGGCTCAAGCACCAGCTGGCAGCTCCAGCCCAGTGTGGCTTTTGGATGATTCTGGAGCCCAGGGGCTTACCCCATCCTAACACACTACCCCACTCTCTACCCTGTGGTTGCTGCACACCCAGCCACTCCTCTCATTCTCAGGTCAGACCCCTACAAGACCCCTCAAGTCAGGCAACACCAGGCTACTTAACATGGGAGGAGAAATGTGGACAAGACTGAAAGATGCCCAGCATGGAGAAGGCCTGGGGTTTGGAGGGACTGTGATCCCTGCTACAGGGGCCTAGGTCTGCTCTCAGAACCCCCACCCC